GCGCATCTTTAATTACACCGGTTCTTTGGAAACGACCAACAGTTCTTTCGACAGTTGACTGAAATTGGTTCACGGTCAGGATATGTAGCATTGAATAAATCCGCTACTTCTTTATAGGACCTTATTCTGTCGCCATACCCTCTCATCATCAATACAGTGATACTTTCCTTATCAGTTAAATGCATTTTCTGACAATAGAAATGTACTAAAAGTTGTTTGGTTTGAACTCAAATGTCAATGCCCGTATGCCGGCGACCTATGATATGCAGTAGTTGATGTTTCCTCAGAGAGTTCTCACTTGTAAACTCATTATTTCACGCGGTCGCTTGTGAATTTTCGAGAGCGCTTGTCTAATATCTTTTTTGCTTTAGTATTTTTCATTTTAGCACATTTTTGAAAATGCATTTAACTGATACGGAAAGGATCACTGTATTGATGATGAGAGGGTATGGCGACAGAATAAGGTTCTATCGAGAAGTAGCGGATTTATTCAATGCCACATATAATAACCGTGAACCAATTTCAAAGTCAACTGTTGAAAGAACTGTTGGTCGTTTCCAAAGAACCGGTGTAATTGAAAATGCGCCTAGATCTGGAAAACCCAAAAATGCTAGTAATGACGAAAAAGCTTTAGATGTTCTGCTAACTGTATACAATAATCTCCATACATCGGGCTCGAGAGCAGTTCAAGAAAATGATATTAACACAACATCAGTCCATCGAATTTTGAAGAAGCATCACTATCATCTGTTTTTCTGACGAAACAACATTTGAATTAAACGGTTCTGTAAATTGACAGAATATGAGATATTGGGCAGATGAAAATCCGCATTGGATGAGAGACAGCCCTGCCGAAAATAATCGATTAAAACCGATTAAAACATAATCCGTTTTAATCGGTTTTAATCGGTTTTAATCGGTTCAATCCGCGCCCGGATTAAAAAGTAATCGATTTTAATTCCGAACGAACTATAATCGATTTTAATATCGCTTTCGCGGATTATTTCCAATCTAAAATCATTACATTCTAATCCATATTGTTGTCAATCCATTCAAATGATCATAACTCTGCGAAAAAAATCGTAGAGACCTCGGCGACCTCGCGTTGTTTTCGTCTCGGAAAGCCCTTTGGAACGAGCCCTCACTCAACTCCACATGCCATTTAAGATTTTTTGGCTCCTCCCTCCCCCCGTCCCCCGCGGGTGTAGTTGTGGATGTTTTTGTGTTTAAATAATAGGCTTTGTGATCCCATTGTATCCCTATAAATTTCAATCCTATATTTCAAACCATTCAAAAATTATTTAGGTGGCCCGGAACTTTTGGTAGGCACTGTATATTAGAGTATATCGCACTAGTTTTGATCGTTACTTTGTACGCCGGAATATAGAGTCGCCATGTTTGTTATTTTTCTCGTGTTGAGGCAAAACCGAGTATCTACACACTTTACCCAGCTAACCATTTGCTTGCGGATTGTTAACAAATAGCAAACAATTCCTTGTGGAACGAGGCTGCCAAATTCAGGGCCTACTGTGTCCTCGAGTGCGCCCCAATTGCAACTAAAAGTTGAAATCATATCCTGATGTCAAATTGGGTACAACACCAGAGCAGATCTGTCACTAGCAGTGCGACGACAGATTGACGCAACAAATCGAGAGCAGGTTTGTCAACCGCAGACCGACAACTTTGCGCCAAATGCCCAGCAGATCTACGGCAATTTTCGACGACAAAAATTAGATCAGTTACAGTATTAATAATACATAAAGTATTATTGCATATATATTATATTGCTATGTTGCTGCAATATTATATTGCAATATTTCTGTAGGCGGACATTTTATTGTTGCTGCAATATCATAACAACATTGCAGCAATATTTTGCAATGTTTCTGCAATGTTGCAATCTTGCAGAAAAATGTTGCTGCAATGTTGTTACAATCTTACGGTGCTATATGGGTACTAACGGCAAAATTTTTTTTACTCTGATTTTTTGCAGGAAGATAAATCTAAAAAGGTACCGGGTTTCACCCTACTTTCCTATATATTTTTCAAGCCGCAGTTCGTATATCGTCGCGATAGGATATCTAAATAAGAAATTACCGTAGAAAAAAAATCAAATACGTATTTTTCAGGTATAAATTCGACGCGTCAAAAAGACAACGATGTGTGGAAAAAATTTGATGTTTTGGTATTGCGCGCTTTTTCTCCTCGCCGCTTCGTTATCGAAATCTCAGCAAAATTTCACTGACAATGAAAAGAAAAATGATAATCTGACAGTACGATACGATATAAATGCGTATTCTACGACAAATTATAGAAACAAAATGAAAACACCACGATATGATTTGTACGAAAAGTCTAACAATGATACACAGTACGAAGATATGCACCCACACAGCATGAAATATTTTAGAAATATTTCAGAAATATTTTATTGCAAGAGTTGAATTATTTCAGAAATTTTCCATGAAATATTTCTGAAATATAAATATGTCTAGAAAATCAGAATTTTTGAAATATTTCTTGAAATGTTTTCGAAATCTTTCAGAAATATTTCAAATAACTTTTCATAAAATATTTCAGAAAATATTTTTAAAATGTTTCTAAAGGTTTCTTAAAATATTTCAAGCTATATTTCTTTATAGTGCACAGAACTGAACAGAATTAAACAAAAAAATATTGAGCAATCGCAAAAAACCATACAGAGAAGTGGTTTAAGCCGATACAAAAAAATAGGTTATATCAATAACTACCCAGTCAGCCATACATTAAAATTTTTTTTTCGTGATATAATATTTATTTTTATAATCTTTTTACATTTTTTTTGTAATGTAATTTTTTACCAGTAATAGAATATATTATTATAAAAAAATATTTTAATATATAACTTTTCTTCAATTTAAACTTCTGGATCATCATTTTCAGCTGGTATTATTGGTTGAAATATTTTTCTTTTAGGAGCTTGCCTGAAAATTAGACAATTTTGATAAATATTATAAAATAAAATGACTAGTATATGAAGTAACACCTCTAGAACAATACTATAACAACCCAAAATGTTACGATTTTGAATAAAAGACAAAAGAATTATTTATAAAAACACGAAGATCATGCAAATATCTTTAACAAACAGTAAAAATACGTTAAAATAGGAGAATTTTCCCTTTAAAATCGATTTCCCATAAAAAAATAAGTTTGGTATAGTATTTCACTGAGGATGCGAAGTGTATTGTTCATAATTACGTTTGAACACGGAACAATCTCGTTTTTGAACTATCGAGCCATCTTTTAATGCTCCGCTTAACATCTTCTTCGCTAACATTAGCAAATTGTAGTTTTACAGTATCTATATACATAAAAATAACAATTGTTATGAATGCGAACGTTCTAAAACATTTATATTGATACTATAAGTAGCGTAAACTGACCAGTGATGAATAAACAAAATCTGAAAAATGTATAAAATACACTATTTTATTACTTTTACAATAGTCTAATCCTCAAATTTTAAAAACTCAAAGATATTATTATTTTATTATATTAAAAACTTGAGAACCTTATATTTAAGAAATAAAAACAATAATGACCTGTTCAGTTACTGGTTGATTTAAGTTATTATTTATTTATTATAAAGCATGCTTCACTTAAATAGAACTTACGATAGACGCAACTGCATAAGGTAAGACTAGAAAAAATTCTCTTATGTTTTTGTCCATAAAAGCTATAGTTCGTAGCTACAGAATTGGTTATCACGCTGGATAAAATATTGTAAATTAAGTTGTGAGACGTATTGCCGCCTTTGCTCTTCATGTATAATACCTACAAAATTAATAAAATTTATACAATGTATGTAAGAGTAGCAGACGATGCTTTTCCTCTGTCTACAAGGATATTAAAACCATATTCTCAAAGAAATATTTGCTATGAAAATAGAATTTGTAATTATCGTTTATCGAGGGCAAGAAGAGTAGTCGAAAACGCATTTGGAATTTTAGCTAATAGATTTAGAGTGCTTTTGAATCCTATATCGTTATCGACTGATAAAGTAGAACTTATTACTTTAGCCTGTGTAGCATTACATAATCTTTTAACTACAGAAAATACCACTGCAAACACAGATTTATTAAATAATATGAATTGTTTGCCTAATGTAGTACAACGACAAGGTAGAGTTTCTGTCGCTGCATTACAAATACAAGAAGAATATAAAGACTATTTTTATAAAGAAGGAATGGTAGCTTGGCTACTGTTTCTTCTACAGATAAATAATCATCCTATGAAAATCAAATGTATAATTAGTATTATTAAAGTCCTAGATACAAAGTAAGTCTTTGATACAATTTAAAATAACTCTTAAATGTTATTTTAAATCTTAAAGTTTCTGTTCAAAAGAGAGTAAGAAATATTTTGTAATACAGAAATATTTTGTAATTCTTTTTCTTCTATCGTTAATTCGTGCTCATGATCATTTTGTTGTTTACCCAAATCAATATTAACACTGTCATAAATCGATGTTTTTGGAAGCCAGTGTTCCAAAATAAATGTCATTAAATCATAATACCAAATGTTTGGACGATAAATCTTAAAAATATAAATAGAATTCTGTCTTGAATTCTGTTGCAAATTATAGATCGTGTAAAGTGGGCTTAAGAAAACAAAAAAAAATAAATTATAATTTAAATTCTGAATACCTCATATATATGAACAATAAGATATCGCTTTTCCAGTCCATAGTGTAAAATTTTGCAGCGGAATTGCGTCATTTTTGTATCAAATAGTTGTTGTTTAAGCATAAAAATTTTGTTCGGATATATTAGATTTAGTGATCATATGTTGAAAAAGAAATTGTCTGTGTATGCCTTGTGTATAAAAAATATGTAATTATTTACAAAGTATGTGTTAATGAAAAAATACATTATTATAGTGTTTTGAAAAGCTCTCGAGATAAGCTACAAGAATATGCAATAAAAAATGTGCGGTTCTATTTAAGACATCGATCACATTGACCTGGCCTTGAAAAGGTCACTCAAGGTCAAGTCCATATTTTCATCATGTGGCCACCTCGAAACCATGCAACTTTTGTCTGAAACATTTTTGTCTATCGGGCTCAGTTTTCGAGATATTCGCGTAGATTAATTAAAATGGTCCACCCCGTATATGCAACAAAGCACTTTCTTATTTAATATTCATATTTCTTTATATAACAAGAAACACTTTTATTTTTATTTTTCATATTTATTCTTTTTTAACGGCAAAAGAAAGTGCAATTGGTAAAACTTGTTTCAGAATTCTACACGACAGTCCGTTAAAAGTCCACTTTTGGAATTATTTGCGTGTAAAGTATAAAGACATTATTTAATTATTTGTTTAATTCGGTTAGACATAACAAAAGTGACAATTAATTATTCCAGAAGAAAAATGTTGAGAAAACACAATAAATATATTAATTGACCGGAATAATCGATTAAATGACTAATCGAATAATGGTACTCACTCTAACCGATTACAAGTTAACTGATTTTAACCAGTAAATTCGTTTTTAACCGGTTAATCGAATTAATCAGTTTTCACGAGCCCTACTTTTAACAGTCGTAATCACAGTTTCATAGATTAACAATTATAGTATTATTTTTCTTCAATTATACCAATATCGCATAAGCACATATGTACTACATAAGTACTACATTAGTACTGATAGCATGAAAACGTATGTAAGTAATACGTAATGGCGAAGTACAAGATGTTCAGTCTATTATGCAGTAGACTCAAGTTCAATTCCACAAACATCTGAATAAAATTTTTTTGTTTTGTTATATGAACATTATTACATTTTGTGTGAGAATTATATTTAGAACAATTGTTAAAATTTTGAAAATATGTTGGCAATTTTGTAACTATACACACATTGTACGTGTATAAAAACTTTACTTTATGTATACTATGTCAATGTATCTTATAATAAATCATAATAGTAGCTATGAAAAGCTATTATTGGAGTAAATATTCTTTTTAAATTAACAACCTTTACAAAAAATATATTTTAATATTTTAATATATTTAAATGTATTATATTAAAAAAATTATGTTGATTAAACTATTATATTAATTATATATAATAAAATTCAATCAATATATTTTTTTATAATAATTTTTTGTAGAGATTGTCAATTTGAAAAGAATACTTAAGATAAAAATAGTTTTTCATAGCTACTATTGTGATTTATTACAAAATACATTAACGTATACATAAAATAAAGTTTTTATATACATGTATAAATGAAATCATAGATACTCTAGTGAATTTCCTCATTTTTGTAATTTTCACATCATTTTAAGATACACAATCAACCTCCTGAACGCATCCGTTGTGTCCAAATGAACCTCTCCCGTCTTAATTGGGTTTAATAACATCCGTAGTTTTAAAACTGGCCAATCATAGTCATTCCATTCTTCAAATAAATAGCTGTAATTGGTCAGTTTTAAAAGTATTATTAAACTATTAAAGGAGACACATATAAATGCAGTCTTAAATTTGATCAATCTTCTTGCGAAATATTCTATAGATAAGTTGGTTTCTAACATTATTTAAAAACCACTTCATTTATCTAATAAAAATATTAAAACAAAAACATAACTATTTTTTATATCTTTATTATTAAATTTAATTAATTTAATATGTATTGTATATAATATCTCTAGCTATTATACATAAAAACTCTATATAAATAAAATTTTCCTTTAATTTACTCTATATTTGTGTTTACTTGCATCAATTGTTACTACATTACAACACAATTATTAACGATATAAGTGATCAGCATGGATATTACTAGCAATTTCAGATTCCCATTTATCTCCATTATTTAAAAGTTTTTCCTTGTTATACAACATTTCTTCATGAGTTTCACTTGAAAATTCAAAATTTGGACCCTGTAAAACACAATTTTTTAATAATATAATTGTTAAATAATAATTCTAAATTTCTCTCATTATTTTTTCTTTTCTCCCTATATCTTTTATTAACAAAAAAACTTGGATACCTCTACAATAGCATCTACCGGACAAGCTTCTTGACAAAACCCACAATAAATACATTTAGACATATCAATGTCATATCTTGTAGTGCGTCGAGATCCATCTGCTCTTTCTTCTGCTTCAATTGTAATAGCTTGTGCAGGGCATATTGCTTCACATAATTTACAAGCAATACATCTTTCTTCTCCAGAGGGATATCTAAATAAAATAAATAAAATATATCTTCATAGTAAAACCATAAGAAATACGAAATACCATAAGCCGCGATCACATATATTAAATATTTATAGCCTCCTTAACCCTCTATTATTCACAATATCCAATAGATATACATTTAGGTTTACAAAGTGTTGTCTTTCACCATTTTTATGTACTTTAGTGCATGATCTATTAGTCAAGTGCTAAATAAAGAGAAATTGCTTTAAGAAGCAGAAGAAAATAATGGGAAAATTGGTGTATCTATGAGATGACGTTGCAACTTATGACTCATGCATTACAGATTGACATGTCATGTTGTCATTTCATCATAATATTCAATTCGAAGTTGGCCATATCGCAGAACCGAAAATGAAAAAGTAGACGTCGCCCGCGATATTTCAAGTTGATAAAACATGTATAATATATAAAATATTTATATTACAGCATACATCGTTGTATTCGTTTCAAACAGTGCTACAACTTTTCATATCGAAATATTCACATTATTATAAAAAAATTATGCATACCTCTCCGTTCGTTAACACAGATAGCTTTTAAAAGCAACTATTATGCTCACAATAGAGTTCAGTTTGAACCATTTAATTTGATATATATTTGTTACAGTCTATCTCCTTTAGTTTAAAAGATAAAAGGGGGTGGCCACTTTTGGTGGGACACCCTGTATATATATATATATATTCACACACGCACACGCACACACACAGAAAATATACCTTCTTAGTGCATGTTCGCCTCTAAATCTAGGACTCAAAGGCCCTTTTTCAAATGGATAATTTATAGTTGCTGGTTCTCTAAATAACTGAGACAAAATAAGACCAAATCCTCGTGCAATTTCAAGAAGAAACATATGAGTAGTTGCAGCTTCCATAATATCTGTCCAGGTTTTGTCTTTTTCTTCGTTTACGTAGTAATATTTACTACGACTCAAACATATATTTATACCATTTAAAGTAAACCTACCAAATTTTGGAGCTGAAATATTCACAATTTTTAAAATTATTTACATATCATGTAAAGTAATAAGATACAATTTAACAAGAATAAAAATTTTCATATAGATTTTGTCAAGTATATAATTTGCCTCTCTCTCTGATAATTTCTTCCTATATGTTAATCATAGAAAATAACATGTGAATAATTTATGCTAACATATCAACCTAAAAGAAAAGAAAAAGTTTGTTCATAAAAAATAAATTTGGTAAACATATGAGACAAAAAGTATCTAATTCTCACTATTATTCATAAAATTAATAATAAATTTATAGTTTTATATAAGAAGATTAAAATCTGGTCTGATATTTAGCAATATATTAACAAATTTATTTGTGTTTACAGGATATCCATATATTCATCAATATCAATATATCATATCATAATATATATTTTTTATATGTAAACATTATTCAATTTTTTAAATTATTTTATCAAACTTTAAATAAAATAGAATAAAAATATAATAAAAAATTTTTTTAATTGCATAATCTATCAATAATAATATATTAATTTAATTATTAATATTTGGTATATCAATATTCTCAGTTCCACTTTAACAGTCAAGAAAGTTATCTATAAGTTAAATAGCATACCATATAGATATAATTACAATTCTGTATAAAATAACTATTAATAAGATTAAAATAGCTTAAATTTTGTGTTATATGATACAGAATTTTAATAGAAATGTTTTACACAGCATAAAAAAAAATATTAATTTTATATAGAATATATAAAATTTTTTAATAAATCAAAATTGATAGCTCAAATTTTAATCAAAATATATCATATCAAAAATTAACCAAAACTGATGATTAAAATGTTAAAATGTAACATTAATATTATATTTAACTGCACAATTACAAAAAAATTTTCTCTATTATATTGTCGCAAGAATAGCATATAATCCAATTATTGATAATATTAAAGAAATAAATAAAACAATAATATAATAAAGATAATAAAGATTCTTTTTCATAGGTAATCCACCTGCGCAAAAAGAAACACATAAATAAAATGCATATTTCATTATCAGAAATAAATTAGAAGGCTGCCACAATTCCTATATATAACCTCAACATAGCGTTTTTTAAATATAGCTTGATAACTAAACATAGTTTTTTTTACAAATACTATGTATAACTTAGCATATCATAAAACGCAATACTTTTGGAAACTTAATAAAAAATAAAAAAAGATTATTTTGTTCAAAAATTATCTTTTGTAATACAACAAAATCAATTTTATCATAAACGAAAATCATTAAATATCATACTGATATCATACCAATTTTACTCATTCGTGTAATGATCTGCAAAGGAACCATCATTATATCTCTTCAATTTCTTTTCCTCAAAGATAAACAGGACTAATAAGCTAGCACAAAAATTTTCTTATTTTATACATATATCTCGTACACAAGTTTCTTTTTATAGCATTTTCGAATGAACGGGTTAAGGGTTAGCAAGAGTGACGACTGACGACCAAACTCCGAATTGATATTAGAGACCTCGCGCGGTGACAATGCGAAACTCCAGCTTCAGGGTTACCAATCTGAGAAATAAATTCTCGATCCCTATGTAGAGGTATATGTCCGTATACGTACACACACGATTGCATTGCTCGCGTGGACG